AAGGCGTACGCAGACGTGGGGTCCTTGGATGGCAAACTGGAAAATATCTGCTGTCAAAATGCAGCAGCATCTATTTCAGCTGTGAGCCTTTCCCAACTCCCATCTCGTTCGGCGGGGACCGGCGGGGAGAGGCTGAGCACAGGATATATGACCGTTTAATCTGATTCCTCCTCCTTAAGAGCTTTTCCCATCGTTTCACTTTCTCTGCTCATTTGGGGGAGGTGAGGGCATCGGGCAAATTCTACTTCTTAAAAAGACCCTGACTTTCTATTTCAAATCACACGATTTTTGTTTTCTTACCCTCCTTACCCTGCTGTGTTGAAGGAATTCAGGATTAAAAGAAAAATGTGCATATCACCAGTGGAGGGGGGGGGCTTTACGAAGTGGAATATTTATAGACAGCACTGATTAGCTGTGCAATTGTTGTTGAATAATGGTTTTGTTGTTTCTCTTTTTTTTTCTTTTAATTTTAGAACATAAAAGCTATATAAGGTGCCCCTTAGCTACCTTTCTTTATGTATTATCTTCACCAAACTTAACTCAAATCAGATCTTTGGAGGAGGTAGGATTTTTCCCCTTCTTTTCTTCCTTAACACCCCTTTGTTCTCTCCAGCTCTGTGTTCAATTAACACCCCCATCGCAGAACTGTAGTCTTTTTTTTTTTTTTTTTTTTTTTTTTTTTTTTTTTTTTTTTTTTTTTTTTTTTTTTTTTTTTTTTTTTTTTTTTTTTTTTTTTTTTTTTTTTTTTTTTTTTTTTTTTTTTTTTTTTATGTCTGTTACTGTATTTCACTTCTGACACCTCTCTTATTATTCTTGCCTGCTATTTCTCTTTAATATAGCAATTACGATACGGGGTTTCTTTTTCTTCCTCCCTCCCTCCCTTCTCTTCCCCACCCCCCAGCCAATATCCCACCACGGGCAGAAGAGCGACAGACATGGTGTGTGCAAACGCTGGTGGTTTTGGGGTGTGGGACAGAGCAGTAGGCACGGTACACTGGCGAGCCCAGCACCCCTTGGCTGAAGTGTTTCTCAGGGCAGGATGGGGCAGCTTGCTTTCCTTCTCTCCTGCCCAGCCCTTCTCCAGGGTATCAGACCCCTGCCCTCCTTATTCTGTGTTTCCACCGAGGAGGTTTCCCAAGGCACAGGACAGAGTTCAAAACCCCGATTTGAATTTCAATGCAATTCTTGCACCTAAGGCATCATCCTGATTCTGCAAAAGCTCATCATGAAAGTGCTCGTGCTCCAGCCCCACAGGATGGGGGTCCCCTGCTCGGCTTTTGGCAGGTGCAGCCTTTGCCTGGCTGCTCTCCCTCCCGCTCTTCAAAGGGGAGGAAGCCTTTGCTTTGATATTTGTTATTACTGTATTTTTTTCCTCTTCCAGTTGAAAGGCTTTGAAGGCAAAAGTGATGCTTCCCTCTCCCAGCCAGGCAGGGTCTGCAG